TCCCTTTTTAGGACTCCTACAACTTTAGGATACCTGGGAGTAGACGTGGCCAAACTCCCCCACCAGCAGGCAAACCTCAGAAGATTTCCCTCTCCTACTTTCAATTATGTCTCTCACAGATGACAGAATGGGACTCAAACTGAGTCCTACACATACATGGCTCTAAATGTAAAGGGAGATGGAACTAAGGACTTAGAACCTGAGAGAGGGGCTAGAATCCACTCACATCTGTCCTTTTCTGTGGAGGGCGTGAAAGATCTTTGTTGCAATGTCTATGTTCATGTGCACGGGAAGCTCTCTGAAATAAGATCCTCAGAAATAAAAAGCCAAGTTCTTCAACACTTTTGGGTTGCCATAAATCTGAAGGAAACTACAGCTACTGAAGAGGGACAAACAAGTAGAATAATTCAGGTTCACACTGCTTGTTTTCTCATTCTGCTGCCTATCAGCTCAACAGAAGGCAGAATGCCCTCATTCTGTACTCTCTTAGTGAGTAAAGTCTCTGTCTTGACTGGGTAGCATAGATCCTGGGATAATTTTTTTCTGCTTCCTTGTAGGAAACCCATTCTACATAGTTTGCATAAGGCAAAATTCCACCCTGCCTTGACCCATGTCAGAGCACCCAAATCCTTTGGCCATAGTGATTGGTTCAAGGATGGGTGTGTAATCCAAGCCATTCAATCAGAATCCACCCTGCACCTTTTGATAGCACTATGGACAATGAAATACTCTCTTTTCTCTGGAACACACAGCTGTCAGAATAACTCAAGTCAAAAGCTGCCAGTGACCATCTCTGCCATTCTGCCTGCCTAGGAATGAAACCAATCCAGAGGAAAAGACTTAAGATAGCAAGGGAATGATCTGATGACATCTTCTCAACACCCAAATGCAGTCATATCTCAAGCCAGATATAACCCTTAAACTCTCTAATCATGGCAGCCCTTTTGTTTAAGCTTGCCTGAAATAGGTTTTCACAAATTAGAGTCCTGAATAACCCAGTAGTTTTAAGTCACCACAACATGAGATGCATGGGTCCTAAAACTGGGAACTGAGTCAACTATACATAAAATAATCATGTTTTTGGTAAGGCAAAAGTAATGTTTAAGATGGTGGCTGCTCTGTATCACCTTGGGAACATAACTATTGATGAGCCAAGACTCCCTGCCAACCCACAATGAACGGGTAGTACAAATTAACGTTAAGAATTGGTACTTTGGTGAGAGGTATATGCTTTTTGTATATATATCAGAGCCTGGCATCGAAGAATGGAAAACTAATCATAGTCATAATAATATAACTCTGCAACATGTTTTATAGCTTACAAAGCATTTTCACATGTCATCTCATGTAATCCCCACAGAAACTCTCTGAAGTCAACGTTGTGAATATTTTCTTAGGTTTTGGCCTTCTATCAGTGTGTCACTGATTTTTGGAAAATAGCTCTTTTTGGGGGGATAGATGGGGAGGAGGAGATAAACTTATTTATGCCTGAGTTTACTATTCAATTGCAGTGGACATGTTTGTTTAACCTGTCCAGCATCCTTGGATTTCTTTTAGGGAAGCAGTGCTTCCTCACACCAGTGCAAGTTGTTTGAGTGCGATGGACTTCGCCCTCCCCTGCTCCAGGGTTTTACATGGACTCAGGCCTGGTGAATGAGAGGACTCCAATTCTGAGGCAGTAAATGGTTCAGTGATCAGCATAACTAAAGCGAAGCTGAGAAGTAGCCTTGGGGATTTTGCTGTAGCTAATATTTAGAAAGAGGTATTCTCTTTGGGATTGTAAATGCTAAGAACCATACTAACTTGGACTTGCCAGTAGACGTAGTTGTCATCACTGGAGGAGACCCATGAAAATACAGCCAACACAGAGGAAACCACAGCAGAGACGGAGGTCAGCAGTCCTTGATCTAGCAATGCCTGAGTCTCTGGTTTACGCCTTAGATTCCCCAGATATGTGAACTTTTCTGACAAGATGATAATGTGTTTATGAGTGAACTGGTGGGAGTGGGGAGGGGGGCGAGGTATGCACATTTTATGTACAGTCAACTCCATCTAAGGGTAGATTATCTGGTTTATGGACGAACAGAGGTTAAAAATTAAGAGGTTATGCTGTGAAAAATGTAAAGAACAAGAATTCAGGAAAAAACTTCTAATTTTTTGAGGGCATTAATTGGAACTACAAGGTAATCCACAGATGCCTCATTTTATGTATTACACAGGGGACTACTCTTCCCCCTTGTCAATAAAACCTATAGTGAGGGACAGCTCATGTGGTTCTGGATCCCAAGACTGCCCAGCTGAGACCCAGAAAAGAAGAATTAGGTAAGGAAAGGGAGAAAGCAGGGACAAAGAACTTCCAACTTGAGTCCTGTTGTAATATTAAAAAAAAAAAGTAAGAACTCATCTAATAAAATAAAAAATTATGAGAGACTTTTAATAGATAACTGAACTCATTAATTGCCAACTAATTTGAATAATGGTTGGTATTCTTATACTTTTGGGTGATGTTACATTGTCCTCCCAAAAGCCAGATGTAATTCAAAATTTACACTAAATCAGTTTTTACTACATTTTGCCTAGTTTTAACTGTACTTTTTACATGAAGTTCCTCCTTCCCTTTTTCCCCCATTACCTCTGCTAAGTGAGTGGTGCCTGTCTTGGCCTGAGGCCTCCTGGCACCATTTGGTAGAAATGACCTTCCTCTACTTTTTAACCTTCTTGCAGGTTCGTGGACTGTGGAGGGTATTCCTCAGCTCATGTCTCCAGAAACTGTGAAGATCAGATGAACAATTATAAATGTCAGTTTCCTGAATGATAGGGAGATATTTTACGGTTTGTCTTTCTTTACCTCTTAAAATATGCTTAAATGAGAATTTAAAAAGCAATTTAAAGTTTCTGACAATAAATATATAAACAACATCTTTATTGACAGTGGGCCAGTAAGAACACTCAAATTTAGTTTATAGGTAATCAAAAACATTTGAAACGCAGAACACTAAAACTTCCAAGATTCATGTCGAATACAAACACGTAGTTAGATTGAACACCAAGCATAAAAAGAACAAATACTGAAATGCAAGGGGCCGGAGTTCTCAGTAAAACCAGCTTAGAGCAAGTCCCTTAACCTTATACCATTAGATTACACACGCGTCTCTAGGACCATCACATGGCTCCTGGTTAAGTGATACTCAGAAGGAAAAAAAGCAGGTCCCATGAGGTCTCAAGGAGGCTGTGTAGGGAGCAGCACCAGATGGAAGAGCAGAAAGCAGTGAAGCCCCTTCTCTGAGCCAGAGCAGGATAGTCACAGTTCTAAATGAGTGAACAAGGGTGTGGAAGATACACTCATCCTTAAGTAATTCCTACTGACTGATGCGTAGCCACGTGCTATAGACTGAATGTGTCCCCCTCTAATTCACGTTGAAACCGAATCTCCACTGTGGTGGTGTTAGGAGGTGGGGCCTTTGGGAGGCGATTAGGTCATGAGGACAGAACACTCACAAAAGGGATTAGTGCCCTTATAAAAGGCCCCAGAAGGAGCTCCCTTGCCCTTGTACCATGTGAGGACACAGTGAAAAAATGGCTGTCTGTGTACCAGGAAACAGGCTCTCAAGACACTGAAGCTGCCAGGGCCTTGATCTTGGACTTCCCAGTCTCCAGAATTGTGAGACTGTTGTTTTATAAATTAGCCACTTAGTCTATGGTATTTTGTTATAGCAGCCAAATGGACTAAGATACCACTTCATTAAAACATATATATACATATGTGTGTGTGTGTGTGTGTATATATATATATACACAGAGAGAGAGAGAGAGAGAGCGAGAGAGAGAGAGAGGGTGAGAGGCTCTCTATATAATTTATGGTGTGCTAGGTCTTTTACATGCATTGTCTTAGTTAATCCTCACAACCTTATGAGAGAGGGATGATTTATTCCCACTTTACAGATAAAGAAACTGAGGCCAGAAACAGTAAGTAGCTTTTCAAGGTCACATAATTGCTAAGTGGAGGTGGCAGAATTCAAACCCAGCCTTGGAACGCCCACATTGATCTTATTTTGTTAGTCAATTATTGGCCCCCAAATGATGAATTTCTTTTCACATGAGCATTTGGAATACAGTCGTGCACTGCATGACAACATTTTGGTCAACTGTGAACCACATGTACAACAGTGGCCCCATAAGGTTAGTACCATATAGCTTAAGTGTGGAGTAGGCTATACTACCTAGGTTTGTGTAAGTACACTCTATGATGTTCGCACAATGATGAAATTGCCTAACAACACATTTCTCAGAACATGTCCCCGTCATTAAATGACACATAGCTGTATTGAGAAATAGCAAGTATTGTAGGCTTCTCAGGACATATAACCTCTGGTGTGACTACTTGACTCTGCCACCGTAGCACGAAAACAGCCAAACACAATACGTAAATGAATGAATGTGGCCAAGTTCCAATTAAACATTATTTACAAAAATAGGCAGCAGGATGGACTTGGTCCTTGGGTCCAGGCAAGTTTGCCAATTCCTGCTTCAGACCCTGAGTATTGAATATTAAGGTGGTGAAAAGTGTTCACCTCCTTTTCCTTTATTTTGTTCTGTGTCAGCCATTCTCCTACCCTGACGTCAGATATTGAGCCTTCCCACCCACCTTGACCCCCTTCAATCTGTGTTTTTCATTCTTTCTAAAACCTCTTCCCAATCTTTTCCATTTCATTTTCTATTGTTTTCTTTGATTTCCATCATTGTTGAATTTATACTTGATTCATCCTCAATGATCTTGCTCTCCACTACCACCATTTCTTTAAACTCTACTCCTCTACTTTTCCTCGATAATAGAACTAAGGTCTACAGGGAATTATAAGAAGAGGGATAATGTGGAGGGGACAAGAGCATGGACTGGCTGCTAAATGTTCATAAAGGATAGGATCTAGGAGAGGAGAAAGAAATCTGTAACTACTTTTTTTTCCTCTATCTTTTCTATCATCTTCTTTTCACACAATAGAATAACAACAATAACTGACATTTGTATAGTGTTTTGCTAAATATTTATTTGAACTTTTGCTTTTGTGTTTCCCATCCCACTACTGGTCTTTGGTCACCCACGTAACTTATGTCAATATGTCATCATGGTTTCATGCCTTTTCTACCTTCTTTAGGGCTCTGGGATATACCAAAGATCAGCCAACATATAGGGAAGACAAGAACAACAACAAAAAATGTGGGTAAACATGAAGGCCAGAGAAATGGCAACTTCTTCTTCATGGAGGGAAGCTGCTTATCCTCAAGTGAGTCACTGTCCTGTGAGCTATTTTCCATATCTGACAGGAAGGTATGTCCTTGTGTCTCACAGCTGCTTCCGTTCTTCTTGACTGGGACCCTAAATATAATAATACATTGAACCCATCAACTTTTCAGACCCTCAACATCCCAGAGGTTTTTTCTCAAAGTGACAAAGCACAGTTTACAGAAAGCAGAATAATGTAAAGAAATGAAATTTCCCTAACACTGTGATTATAGAAAACCAAGGATTCATTCAATGCCAAGGATAAGAAAAGAGGGACTTGATCAAAAACTACAGTCAAGATTTTGACCCAATCTCTACTTTAGGGTAAATTCCAGAGACAGCAATTATCTAAATCTATGACCAGCATAATCTGTGTGAACATAACTTAGAACCTGCTGTAAATACATTCTATTTATGTTCATCAAATTAGACAGTAGCTTCTTGGAGGAGGGTGAGAATCCAGAGCATATGTCAACTCAACTCTTAAGTTTTTATTGCTAATGTAAAAGAAATGATGCTCTCTGGAGAAATGACACTATCTGTGTATCTGGATCTCTACTTTGGATTCAAAGAGAAACAACGCTGTCTTCCCAATGATAAGGATATGAAACCTCCAGCTAACCTACCAAATAAAAATTCCTCACAAAGTGAGAAGCTATAACAGGGTTTTGATGTGACAGAGTGGGAGGAGCTGGATTTCACGATTATATTGCTACCCGCTCTCAAAAATTTCTTGAATTTCCACAAAAGGGTATTTGGCGGGGGCGGGTTATGGATCAAAATTTGAGATCTCTGTCTAAAAGCTTTCAAAATTATGAAATCAATGGATATAAGGAACATTCTTCTATGGCTTAAAACTATGTATTATGCCAGTAAATTTAGATGCATACACAATTGGTCCTCAAGCACCATTTTATGGGTTTTCCACCTGAACACTCAGGTATTTAACACAGTGATAAAGCCAACTTACATTTCTTCACATTCAGTAATTTTTCAAGGTTGTTCTTCAGTGTGAATTCTTTGATGTCTGATGAGGGATGAACTGCACTTAAAGCTTTTCCCACATTCATTACATCTATAAGGTTTCTCTCCAGTATGAGTTCTCTGGTGTTGAATAAGAGCTGATGAATGAATGAAGGCTTTTCCACATTCGCTACATTTGTATGGTTTCTTTCCAATATGAATTCTTTGATGTTTGGCAAAATTTGAGCTCCGGCTGAAGGTTTTCCCACATTCATTACACTGATAGGGTTTCTCTCCAGTATGAATTCTCTGATGCTGAACAAGATGTGTGCTCTGACTAAAAGTTTTTCCACATTCACTACATTCATATGGCTTTTCTCCAGTATGAACTCTCTGATGTTTAGTAAGAGATGAGCAGTGGCTAAAGGCTTTCCCACATTCCTGACATTTATAGGGTTTCTCTCCGGTGTGAGTTCTTTGATGTTTAATAAGTGCTGATGAATGAATGAAGGCTTTATCACATTCATTACATTCATAAGGCTTCACTCCAGTATGAATCAACTGATGCTGCACAAGATGCGTACTTCGATTAAAACCTTTCCCACATTCATTGCATTCATAAGGTCTCTCTCCAATGTGAATTCTCTGATGTATTGCAAGGGATGAGCTTTCTGTGAAGGCTTTCTTGCATTCACTGCACTCAAAGAGAATTCTAGTATGAGTTCTCTGATGTTTAGTTAAATTAGCTCTGTGGCTAAAAGATTTCCCACATTCACTGCAGCTATAGGGTTTCTCTCCGGTATGGACTCTCTGGTGTCGAATAAGCACCGAATGGTAAGTGAAGAGCTCACCACAATCATTACATTTATGAGGTTTTTTCTCTTTATAGGTTCTCTGCTTTTTCATTAAGTTTGATTTTTGTTTCAGTCTTTTTTCAAGTGTTTGAAAGGCATAGGATCCTTTGTGAACTCTGTCTTGAGTGAGAAGGACAGACTTCTGACTACAGTTTTTCCAATAAACATCATGCTCATGAGCTCTTTCTTCAGAGAGTGAGTCCACATGAGTGAACATTTCTCTCAAGCGTCTCTCCTGATCTTGCTGATTCTCTAACCAATTTTCACATTCAAGTGTTGTTTCCAAGTTGGAGTCATAGACACTATTCCTTGTCAGTCTGTCTGTCATTGCAACCTGGCATGATTCTTCTTTAGAAAAATCTTGCATTGAAGTTGCATCTTTGCTCTCAGGTCTAGTCTCCAAGTCTGAAAGAAATTGGAAATGCAAATTTCCTTTGTTTTCTGTGCTCAACAAAAAGGCAGTTCTGTAATAGGTTAAGAGTTAATGAAGGCGAAAAGCATGCCTTCAACAAGTAAGTGGATTTGACTCTTACAAGATGATTTGCAAAGAGAAGTAAATGGAGGGACATAAATGCACAGTATATGTAGAGAAAATGAGTAGACTCTATCCAGGAGAGTCAGAATGCGGGAAAGACAACCAGAAATACCAGAGAAGAAAGAGGGATGCAGATGAAGTAATATATCACTGAATAAGCTGGAAATGAGCATACACCATCAGGACAGGGGAGAAACAACTTCTTAGAGAATACCTACTCCAGGCAGTTTCCACTTTAGTGTAGAGTACAGTTATGACTTCTAAGTTTCCTGTCACCCAATCCTATTCACATCCAAATATGCATTCCATTTCCAGTTTAATCTTCCATATCAATGCTTTTATAATATATCCCTGATCAAAAATCTCCTTTGATCTCCCAAAGATATAATGGAAAATATATGAAATTATATAGGCACAAGGCTATTCATTACAACATTAATTGAGGTAGCAAAAGACTGGTAACATCTCAAATATCCTACTGTAGAGAATTGATTAAATAAACTATGGTGTATACATACAATGGAGTAGTACTATGTAACTTTCAAAAATAAGAAAGATCTCTACATATTGCTATGAAGTGATCTTCAGGATATATTAAATAAATTAAAAAATGTAGCAAGCTGCAAATGAGTGTGTACACTTTGTTACTTTCTGTGTAGGAAAAAAAGAGAAGATACAAATATATAGACATATTTGGTTATATTTTCCGAAACCAAGGATGGATAAATGAAACACTAATAAAAATGGTTATCTATAGGGAAAGTATCAGAAGAGAGAGGGCAGGGATGGAAGCTAGACCTTTTTAACTATATCTGATATAAATATGTTAGAACTTTTACATCCAATATAAATCTACTTTATAAAGCTAAAGTAATTTAAAGAGTGTGGTCCAAAGGAATAAATAGATAGATCAATAAAACAGAAGAGCAAGTTCAGAAATAAAGTCAAGTATAAATAGGAATTAAGGACAATACAAAGGTGATATTTCAATCAGTGAACTAAAGATAATTTGTATTTCCAACAAATGGTGCTATGACTAATTAAACATTTAGAAGAAAATTAAGCTAGATCTGTCCCTCATTCCATACAGCCAAATGACTGTTATTCATTCGTCTACTCTACCTATGCTAGGCTCTGTTCTAGGCACTCGGGAAAAACACACACAGTCCCTATGCACATGAAGGGAGAGAGAATTTAGTCTAATATTCACAAATACATATAAAAATGCACCTGTAGTAAGTACTAAGAAATAAAAGGCAAATGATGCTCAAAGAATATAAGGGGGATACTAGGGAGATGAAGGGGGGCTTCACTGAGGAAGTAAATCACTGAGCTGAAATGAAAGTGGGATTGGGGTTCTGGTGAGTGTTCCAGGTGACAGGTACAAAAGCACTGAGGTGAGAGGGACATCCAAGAAAAGCACGGCGGCAGAGAGCATGGACTCTGGAATCAGAGCGCATGAATTTATTCCCAGCTCTGCCACTTACTAGCTGTGTGAGCTGGGGCAAGTTATTTAACCTCTCTATTTCTGTTTATTTATCTGTAAGATGGGACAATAACAGTACCTACTTCATGAGGAATAACAATATCTACCTTAATGAGCATTAAATGAGAATAGTTATAAAGCACTTAAAACTGTGATACAGCGTAAGTGCTGTATAAGTGTTTGTTAAATAAATAAAACATAAATTGATATAAGGCTAATATAGGTAGGTGGAGGTAGAGATCTCAAAGTGCGGTCAGTCAGTGGATCCCTGGCAGTCTGTAAGTTCGAAACTATTTTCAAAATAATGCTTACATATTATTTGCCTTTTTCACTGTCTTGACACTGGCACTGATGTTGCAAAAGTAACGGTGGTAAAACTGCTCATGACTTAGCACGGATCAGGACAATGACATCAAACTTAACTAGTAGTTATAGTATTGTTCCCCACCATGTACTCTTGGTTAAAAAAAATGCCAGTTTCACTTAATGTCTGAGGTAACAGTAAACACTAATTAATTTTATTAAATTTCAAATCTTGAACATACACCTTTTTAATATTCTGGATTGATGAAACAGGAAATATTCATGAAGCAATTCTGTTCATATCAAAGTATGATGGTCTCTTAAAGAAAACCACTTAGGGGATCCTCTGAGTTGTGACTTGAACTAGCCACTTTATTCATAGACCACCATTTTTACCTGAAGGAACAACTGACAGACAAACTGTAACCCATTTGGGTATCTGGCAAATATTTTCTCAAAAATGAACAAACTGAGCCTGTCACTTTAAGGAAAATAACTAAAGTATTTGATAAAATTTGAGCTTTCAGGCAGCAATTAGAATTTTGGAAAACTTTTATCTACCACTGGTAGCTTGATAGTTTTCTAATACTTAAAAGACTTTTCTGATAAGGTCAGTGGTGATTTTAAAAACTGTGATTTTTTAAATATTGCATACTGTAATGTGTCAATATTTGGAAGATCTGCATAACTCAGTGACCTGATATTTTCCAAAAGATCAATAGATTTTAATGTAAGAGTATGAAAAATTCATGGATATGGTTTCAGATGCCATACTATATCTAATCTTTAAGAAACTCCCACTTGCCCAGTTTTGGTATAGTATCAGAATAGCCACAATTATCTGAAAAAGCTATAAAAAGCTCCCTTTTCCAACTAGATATTGGTGTGAGGCTGGATTTTCTTCATACGGGTCAACCAAAACAACACATCACAACAAATGGCCTTCAGAAGAAGGTGTGAGAATATAGCTGTCTTCTATTAAGCCATACATCAAAGAGATCTGCAAAATTTAAAACAATGCCATTCTTTTCAAGAATATTTTTTGTTGCAGAAAATAGTTGTTTTATAAAAATTATGTTATTTATGTAATGGGTTTATAATTTTTTTTTTTTTGGCTGGGAAAGATTTGTCCCGAGCTAACATCTATTGCCAATCTTCCCCCATCCCCTCGCCCCCAAAGCCCCGGAACATAGTTGTATATTCTAGTTGTAAGTCCTTCTAGTTCTTTTATGTGAGCTACTGCCACAGCATGGCTACTGACAGACAAGTGGTGTGGTTCCACAACTGGGAACCAAACCTAGGCTGCCGAAGTGGTGAGAGTGCCAAACTTTAACCACTAGGCCATCAGGGCTGGCTCTATAATTTTTATTTTTATTTTTTTGAGGAAGATTGGCCCTGCACTAACATCTGTTGCCAATCTTTCTCTTTTTTCTCCCCAAAGCTCCGGTACATAGTTGTGCACCATAGTTGTAGAGTTGTAGCTCTTCTATATGGGACACCGCCTCAGCATGGCTTGATGAGTGGTGAGTAGGTCTGTGCCCAGGATCCGAACCAGTGAACCCTGGGCTGCTGAAGCAGAACACGCGCACCTAACTGCTACGCCACCAGACCGGCCCCGTCTATAGTTGTTATTTTTAAATGAATTATCTAATAGTTTAAAATCTTTCTCAGTTTTAAGTACTGGTAGATAAAACCCACATAAACAAAAGCTCTTTAGGGTCTTCAATTATTTTTGTAGTTAAATTCGGTCTTATGATGCCAAAACCTTTAAGAACTGCTAAGACAGAGTACAAAAATGGAGGGAAAGTAGTTGTGAGATAAGGTTGGAATAATGAGTAAAAGATAGATTTTGCCAGACTTTGTTGGCCTCAAGGATTTTGGTTGTTATCCTAAGAGCAATGGAAAGCCATTGAAATGTTTTAAGCAAAAGGGTGATACCACCAGATCTGTATTTTGAAAACATCACTCTCACTAAGACATAAAGAATAGGGGGCCGGCCCAGTGGCGTAGTGTTTGGGTTTACACGCTCCACTTCAGCGGCCCGGGGTTCACAGGTTTGGATCCCGGGCGCAGACTTACACATTGCTTATCAAGCCATGCTGTGGTGGCATCCCATATATAAAATAGAGGAAGACTGACACAGATGTTAGCTCAGGGACAATCTTCCTCAAGCAAAAAGAGGAAAATTGGCAACAGGCGTTAGCTCAGGGCCAATCTTCCTCACCAAAAAAATTAAAAGAAAAAAAGAATGGAGTATATGGGGACAAAGGTTGAATCAGGAAGATTATTATAGTAGTCCAGGCAAACAAAAGGGAGATGGAGGGATATTAACAATGAAGAAATGTTTGGAATATAATTAGATAAACACAATGATGAATTGGATAAAGGAGAGAGAGGGAAGTATATAGACTGTTCATAGATTTCTGGCTTGCATAATTTGATAAGACAGTGAGTGTCATTTAAGACAATTATTGGAAAAGGATCCTGCTGGAGGGGATGGAGAATTTGGGCATATATCAGGCATTCAGTTTTAAACAAGTTGTATTGAGGCGAATTTGACATAAGCAAATGGAGACATCAGATAGTTACACAAACTTTCAGAGCAGGAGCCCCAAGGAGAGGTCTAGGATGGAAACACAAATTTGGGATTAGTCTAGATAGAGATGATAATTTGGTTGTGGGAATGGATGAGACTGCCGAAGGAGAAAGTGGAGGCTGCAGACAGGTGACCAGTTGGACACAAATCTGACCCTCAGACATGTTTTGTTTGGCCCACGTTGTTTATACATATTTTTGAGATTAGTTACCAGCATTTAAAAGCAGGGAGATTTCACACAGAAATTCAAATTTTAAGTTTCTCTCAAAAAACACTAGAAGCATACTGAATGACAACAACCAGTTAGAGCAGAGGTTGGCAACTAGAGCCCACTGCCTATTTTTCTAAACAAAGTTTTACTGGAACACAACCATATCTGTTCTTTTACGAACTGTCTATGGCTGCTTTCACACTACCATGGCAGATTGAGTAGCGGCAGCAGAGACCACGTGTCCCACAAAGCCGACTTTATTTATTATCTAACCCCTTACAGAAGTTTGCCAGCCCCTGAGCTAGAGCTCATGGACCACCCCTTTCAGCTGAGGCATGTGCCATCCAGTTTACCAGTCCCCACCCTGCTTGCTTCACCCAGTTGTGCTACATCCTGGCCCATGCAGGCACTCACATTTATGATGCCAGCTATACAGAGGGAAGGGGGATTCAAACCCAACCTTCAGCAATTCAAACATTTAATTGTTCAGAAAAGAGAGCTAAGAAGATATAACCAGAGAAGTAAGAGCCAATTCCAAATGGATTAGGGATTTAAAGGAAAAATTAAAAGACAAATATACCAGAAGAGAACAGAAGCAAATACTTCTATAATCTTGGAGTAAGAAAGGACTTTCTCTGCACTAATTAAAAGACGGAAAATAAAAGATTGTAATACACTAAATTTGTACATTAAAAAGCATAGCAAAACTGAAAGGCAAAAAGCTATAAAAAATATCTATAATATAACAAAGAATAAATACCTCATATGTGAAGAGTTCTAACAGATCACTATGAAAATGGCAATATCTCCCACAAAAAAAAGCAGAAGGGTAGTGAATAGGCAAGTCACAAAAACAGACAGGCCTACGAGGGGAAAAAGACGTATCCATAATCACAGGGGAAGATTTTAAAACTCTCTCAGTATTCAAAAGAACAAAAAGATTAAAAAAAATAGAATATTAAGGGAAGATTTTCTTAAGGAGATATGGATACTATAACATATAGTCATTAAAATAGTATGTTATTGGAGCACAGACAGACAAGTAAACCAGAGAGCCTAGAAACAGACCCAAGTATATATGGGACCTGGGTTTACTGCAGAGTTGGCATTATAAATCAGTGACAAAAGACAGGTTTTTCAATAAAGGATGCTGGATTATGGGCTTTAAGCATGGAAAAAGATAAAATTAGTTCCCTATTTCACACGATAAATAAGAAAACCTACTTTGTAAAACAAAACTCAAAAATTTTAGAATAAAGTACAGATTATCTTCCTGACATTAGAATAAGGAAGACAATTCACAAAAAGCACTAACCAGAAAAAAAATGATAAATCTGATAACATTAAAATTTTAAAATTCTGCATGCATAAGCTACCGTAAAACAAAATAAGCCACAGACTAAAAGAATCAATTTTTTTCTTACTGATTTGTAATGGTACCTCTGTCACACATACTAATGGATCTAAAATACATAAAGAACTCCAACAAATCAAAAAAAAGATGTGAATGGCCCAACAGGCAAAGGATATCAATGGATAATTTACAAAAGAGGAAACCTGTAACAGCTAATAAATATAAGAAATACTCAAACTTGCCTATAACAAGAGAAATGTAAATTAAAAAACATGAAATGCTATTTCATACCCATCAGACTGACAAAAATCACTAAATGTAGCAGCATCAACTGTTGGCCAGGATGGTGGTGGGACGTTGGCAGTTCCTAATAAAGCTAACCATGTGATACTTTAAAACTCAGTAATTCTTATTCTGGTTATCTACCCTAAACCAACTCTCAAAATGGACATAAGGAGTCAATAAAAGGATGATCAGTGCAATTTTCTTTCTAATAGCAAAGAAATAAAATAAACTATTCAGTTTATTCACACAGTGGACTTACTCCATAGTAGTTAAAATGAATAAACATAATTCATATGTATTAACATAGATTAATATCAAAATACAACATGAAGTTTAAAAAAGCCAGATTACAAAGAAAAAGTATAACATCATACTATATATACATATTGTTTTTTGTACATATGTACAAACATTAGAATGATTCACACCAACTGGACCAACTTATTTCTAGGGAGAAAATGAAAGGACTTTAACTAAATCTGTGACATTTTTTATTTCTTAAAAAGTAAAAGATACCACACATCTGTAAGAATGGCTAAAATGAAAAAGACAGTCAATACTAAGTCTTGGTGAGGAGGCAGAGCAACTAGAACTCATAGTCTGCTAGTAGGAATGTAATTGGTATGACTTTGGAAACCCGTTTGGCAATATCTATCAGAAGTGAATGTGCACCTACGCCCTGATCCAACAATTCCACTTATATGCATATATCCAACAGAAATGCATATGTGTTCACCAAAAGACACATAAAAGAACATACATAGCAGCACTATTCATATAGCCCCAAACTGGAAACTACCAAAATGCCCATCTCAGGAGAATGGATAAACAGGTGTAACGATATAATGAAAGACTGTACAACAATGAGAATGAGCAAACTACAACTACGTCTAACAACATGATGTACCTCACAGTAATCTTCAGTGAAGGAAGCCAGACACAAGAGTATATACAATATGGTTCTGTTTATATAAAGTTCAAGAACAGTCAAAACTAATCTGTGGTGTCAGAAGTTAGGATAAGGTTACCCTTAGAAGGAGGTGACTTAAAGACAGCACAAGGGTGCTGCTTGGGGTGCTGGTAAGGTTGTTTCTTGATCTGGCCGCTAGTTACATGAATGTGTTCAGTTTGTGAAAATTCGTAGAACTGTACAAGTTATGATATTTTTATCTATTTTATATTGCAAAAAAAAAGGAAGAAAAAGAAAGAGGCAAATGAAGCAAGATATTAGCATGTGTTTGATCTTGGCAGTGGATACATGTGTTATTTCATTTTCTCAACTTTTGTATTTAATTTTGTATGTATATAATTTAAAGTATTTTAAAAATCAAAGTATGTAGACACTTCTAATATTCTTTCTTAAGCACTGAAAAGTGCCACTTCTTCACTGTCCTGTGGGGCTGTTACTTCTGAAGACTCTCATCTATCTGACTCACCTGAATAGCCGCTTTTGGGGACTTTTCTCTCAAGCATCAATGGTTCTTTTCCATTCTCCAAATCGTAGTTCTCAGGCTTGGAAACTGGAAGCCCTGCTCATTAAAAAAAAAGAAGAAGAAAGAAATGAGACTTAGCTATTTGTGATGAGCACAAAGATCTATCCTAAAGCATAGTCCCAACCCCTTGATCTGACAGGATATTACAGGAGGATCTGGAGACCTGGAGTGAGGGAAGATAGATCTCTAAATGAAGCTTAATCTGCAGCAAGAATCTGTGCCTGGTAAGGAGTTGATATGTGTGTGAAAACACAAATGTTTTTGCCTGTCAAAAAAGAAGAGAATTTCTTTCTTTACTGAGGAAGTCCCAGGAAGATGCTGCAGATAAGCCCTTAGCTTAGAGAAGAAGTTGGAGAAAGCCAGACCTCAGGGGCAGCACACAAGGTTGTGACTGTGGTAACCAGAGTTTTTGTCTTCTAATGTTTTTTCTTTCTTCCTTATTCAGTTACTAGAACCTGCTTTCTTAGGGAATTTGTTACATGAGGTTTGGGAGGGGCTAACGTAGTTCCTTCCACCCCTCATATGAACACATACACATATATACACACACACACACACACACACGTGCACACAGGCGGGCACAAGATCCAAACTGGTCAGAGTAGCCTATCTCCCTGGCTCTAGTAACTGTTTCATTGATGGACATGTGACCCTATTTGCTCAAACTCCCAGGATAGAAGTTCTATCTTTTTTTGCCTACCTTTCTAACTAGAAGAATAACGTAACCCTGGAGCTGCCAATGGTCATTTTTGCCACACGGGGAGATCCTAAGAATAAAGCCAGTATAGGGCAAAGCAAGCCACGTGATTTAAAAAAATAAATAAAAGAAATTCCTGAGAATATACTTGATCCCTGACTCAAGATTTTTTTCCCCTTTAAACTAGTGTGAACTAGGTTTCTGTCACTTTGAATTCAAAGAATCCTGATATAAAACAAGCATAGACATTTCACCAAGAACCTAGGAAAGACACAGATTTTCTCTGGTCCCAAAGAGATTAACACTTTATGATGCCTGAATGCAAAAGTGAAGGCTGTCTTAAGCTATTTCAGTTTCAATAAAGTAATGATGTCCCCATGAGCAGATTCCAGAGTCACAAGGAGAACCCATCCTTACAAAGCGAGACCAGGCTCCTATAGTTCTCCAGCATCACGTCCCTTTGTGCAGGATCCAGCTTCCCCCACTCCTCTGGGGTAAAGTCCATGGCCACATCCTTGAATGTCACTGATGCCTAAGACACAAAACATACTTTTGTTCACCATCGTTCACTCGATAGTCTCCCTTTCACCCCCTAGTTTCTGTTGGCCCTGGAGTAGGCACATGAGATATATTCAATAGGGGAAATGACTGTAATAAATGACAAGCATTCTAGTGTATTCAGATTCTGAATATTCTACATAAAGTCACTGGGTATCAATTATGTGCCAGGCACACTGTCCTAGATTCAATATGAGAACCAAAAGAAATAAGACCATGGCTTCTCCATTGAGAGACTCTAATTTTTCTGGGGAATAGAGTTAAAAACATGAACCAATGAGTCAACAATGTAGTTTGGCAAAGTAAACAAAATATAAGCAGAGAAAAAAAAGTATATCTGCATAATTCTCCTTGTGAGTCCTCAATAAAAACCTGAATCAATCTAGCCAATCAATCAGAAGATGAAATGAAATACAGAATTTGTGAATGGAGAAGTCATGGAATGAAAAGATGAGCAGTAAGCACCAAATCCACTTAAGCACAGAATTAATTCAAAGCAAAAAGCATTAAATTGGAAAATGACAGCAACAAATTAATCAAGGGTACAGATAAAACTTATAAATGTTTATGTGTTATGTGTAAATATCATAGGATTAAGTTAATATTAAGACAAAAAATACAAAAACTATATGGAGATAAATATGTATCAGTATTGAACATTTCTCTTTAAGTAAAGCTAGAAAGAATAAAAATAATATTCCAAGATTGTAGAAATAAATATATAGCAAAAGCTACAACTGGATAGAAAACACCTTCTATTTAAACATTCATAAAGCATCTGTAAAAAGTAACAAAGTAAATGTCAATAAATTCCAAAACAGAAATAGAACAGAGCAATAACTGATGATAACTGGAAAAAATATAACAAAATTTCAAAATAATAATGAAATAAAATGCAAAAACCAATGCCAAATGGCTAAAATTGTACTCAAAGGAAATTTCATAGCTTTAAACATTTCCATTTCATAAAAAAATAATGTAAATAAATGAACAAAGCATACAAGTCAAATTAGAGAAAGAACACCAACAACAAACTAAGGAAAACAGAAAGAATTACAGGATAAAAGCAGAAATTAAGGGGGAAAAAAATGAGAAAAATAGGACAGCTGGGAAAGCTGAATAAAGTCAGTAGATTATAGTATTATACCAATGTTAACTTCTGGATTTTGGAAAGAGAATAATAAAGCAAAGTAAAATGTTAACATTTGAAGAATCTGAATGGAGAGTATATGAGAAATCTTTCTACTATTTGCAACATTTCTTTAAATGTTAAATTATTTTAAACTAAAGTTTCCAAAAATGGAAATAATCTGAGACTTAAACAATACAAGAATCATCCTTGGGGAAAAAAAAAATAGTAAAAATCATTAAGTAGCCACTATGTAGACAAAATATGAGGAAAAATGACCTTGATCCTACAATCTGCCCATCTACAGCTAAACTGACACTCAGTGGGAATTAACTAACAAACCTTTAAAAGAAAAAAAAATCAGAACAAAAATGCAAACTGGGGGCCGGCCCCGTGGCTTAGCGGTTAAGTGTGCGCGCTCTGCTACCGGCTGCCCGGGTTCGGATCCCGGGCGCGCACCGACGCACCGCTTCTCTGGCCATGCTGAGGTGGCATCCCACATACAGCAAGTAGAAGGATGTGCAACTATGACATACAACTATCTACTGGGGCTTTGGGGAAAAAAAAAAAAGGAGGAGGATTGGCAATAGATGTTAGCTCAGAGCTGGTCTTCCTCAGCAAAAAGAGGAGGATTAGCATGGATGTTAGCTCAGGGCTGATCTTCCTCACACAAAAAGAATAAAACTGTTTAAAAAAAAAAAAATGCAAACTGTTGCCCAAAAGACAGAAAAAAATACAAAAGAAGAAACAAAGAAAGCATAGTAAACAGAATTATACAAATCCCATGGCAAGAAAAATTTGAAACATACAAGTAATTGTATTAATGTGAATGAGTTAATTTCTCTTATAAAAAGGTTTTTTAAAAAAGTCACATCCTGTTTACAGAAAGGACACCCAAACAAAAACCCCAAAGTTGGGGATGGGGGTAAATGGATGGAAATATGTATACCACATGTCCCAATACAGCAGTTCAAGCTCAACAAAAACATATGGAAAAATATACATCAAACTGTTATCCTCAGTAGGGAAAGGTGGGGGACTGAATTTGGGAAGGTAAGTAATATTATCTTTATATATATTTATACATGTCTGTGTCGTTCACCTGGTTACAATCAGCAAGAATTAAAACTTTGTTTTTAAAAATCTAATAAGTAAAAGATAAAAAAATAGCCCAGGCAAATTATAGTAAGAAAGACAGTTGCAATACTGGCATCAAACAAAATCTAATGCAATGCAAAAAGGACAAAGAGAGTTTTTAAAATTTCCATAAAAGGTTTAATCCACCCTAATGCTATAAAAGTCTTGAATCTAATATCAAAGTGTTGAAATATATAAAGCATTCACCCTTCTTCTGGTACCTGTATCTTGATTTTCCTCTGGCTACTATGCCTGGCCACTTTTAGTCTGTGTAGTTCAGGAAGTACTACTTCCATCTCTGACCCGTGGGTGAGATGTGTGTTTGTATGTATATGTGCAGGTATATGCTCTAGGTCTGACCAACTAGACAATTACACTTAGATCTGGCCAATAATGGTCCAAGAATGGGCCTAATACCTGTTAAAGAGTTAATCCCAGGACTTCTGCTGGAATGACTAGGAGAGAAGATGCCCTTTCTCTCTGGTCTTCAACATGGGAAGATGTAAGCCTAAATTTCTTAGGGACCAGCACTAGGAAAAAAGCCTGCTTGAGAGCAAAACCCACAGAGAGAAAAGAAAAGGTCAGTGAAATGGAGAGAATAGGTTCTAATGCTACTGCTTGAGCTCTATTTCTAGCCAGACCTGGATTTTTCAGTTATGTTGGTCAATAAATACCTCTTTTTGCTTAAGCCAGTTTGAGCTGAGTTTTCATCAACTGTAGCTTAAAGCTTCTTGACTAATAAAGTCTTCAATACTAATGTAAGGTAGTTGAGAAATCAAGAGAGACGAGCAAGTATATAAGGATGCTGAGAAGTCACTTTTACAAATAGTACCAATATGCAGCATCTACTTTTTACACTTTGGACTACAGTAGCAAAGAGAAAGGCTAATTGAGGAATCTTTGGGTTGTGGCATGCCACACACATCATGGAGAGCTCTTTTCTCCTACCCAACTTCTTGTAATAAAAATTTTCAAACATACAAAAAGGTGAAAGACTAACACACTAATCACTCATGCAGTATGACCACCACTTAATTCAACAATTCTTAATATTTGCCGTTGGGGTGAGGACTGGACTAAGTTGCAGACATGATAACACTTCATCTCTAAAATACCTCCGCATTCATCATCTTGGAGGCCTGGGTTCTGCCTCTTTAAATGAAGCCTTCCATAGGCCTTCCTCTTCCAGCCCTCCTTTGAACTATTTGAGTACTTATTACTTATTCATAATTCATTTCAGCACTTAAGGTGCTTTCTTAAATTCCTACTTAGCAGTCCCATGTATGTTGTTTCCACTAGAGAAACATAAATTTTAAGAGGTATGCACCACATTTTCTTTTAAAATAGTTTTCTAAATTACCAAGCACAGAAATTAGCATAATAGGCTAATGAAAAGTAATGTTCCTTACATGCCTGTTGAGTGACAATAAATTACTGGATGGAGAAGATACCATGGGTAAGTAGAAAACATTTTCTGAGTCCATTAGTCACCCCAGTAGTCTCTTAAAATTAGAACTCAGCTGTCCAGATGGGCTCTAGTGGACAAAGAAAGAAACTCCACATCAAAAAGAAGGGAGTGTATCTGCACTCTGAGAAATAAGGTGGGGTTTCAATCGTCAGTAGAGACTCACACTCACCTGGGATCTGGCTGTGAGGCGCAGAGCTGCCACTTCTCCCTCCTCTGTGCTATTCTCTTGGGAAAAGGAAGAATCCTGGGAAGACAGAGCTAAAGGCAAGAAAGCAGTAATGATGGGGCCTAGATCTATTTTGTGACTCAGGTTTACAAGTCTAAAAATCCCTCCACCGTACTAATGATGCTCCCTACACACACCAGAACTGAAGGGAGCCCCAAACCCGGGTTCCCAAGATCATGGAGAATGTCCAGGAATGTTGCTACTTGGGGGCTTAAATTCATTCAGTTGCTATAATCATAACACATACTGGAAGATGGCACTCTCTGATCTAGAAATTAGAATAAGTCAGTTTATTCCCAAGCTTAATCTACATTAAATTAATATCAGAAAAATAGGGTCAGTGGTTCTCAAAAGTCACTCTGCAAGCTTATTACAATGTAGATTGCTGGAACCCACCTCCAAATAATTATCATTAGTTGAGTCTGGGGTACAATTTAGAAATCTAACTAGCACCCCCGTGGTAATTCTGATGTAGGTCACAGATCAAACTTCAAGAAAAACTAGTCTAGTAGAACTGGAAGTTAGTCACTGACATCAATGCTTGTTTGCTACTATGTAAAAGAAAAAAACGTGCTTTATTGAAATCATAGGATGTTGTGCAGAGAGGGATAAAATGTGTGGGAAAATATTTTTGCCAACCAAAAAGCTAAATTCTCAGACTCATTGATCGAGGCTAGGATGGCATAATCATTTGGGAGAAAGAACATGTGAGGAAAAGTAATTGAGGCTATGCTTGTGCCTTAGAAGCTAACATGTCGCTCCCACTTTGGGGGTGGCTTTGAAGGTTCCACTGTGCACCCAGCTGGAGTGGAGGGCGAGGTGATGCCATACCAAGCCCTCCACTCTCACTCAGAGAACCCATCCATCGCCCAGACAAAGGACAGCGCTCTCTGACAAGAGCCACTCCCTTGAGGCAACTGATCTCCCATCCGGAGGAAGCATTTTGCCCTTCCACAAGACAGGTTCGACACTTCAGCAGTTCTCACCTCTCTTGGGCATTTCGGCCAAATCTGTCTCCATGATCACCACTTCCTCCCGGTTCTGAAGATTCTGATCTTCCCCCTGTCCACGCAAAATAACCAATAACCATTCTATAGATAAGAGAAACAAGGTGAGTTTACTTAAGCCAGAGTGAGGATTATAACCTGGGAAGGCCTTAGAAAGCGTTTGGGAGAAGCATGGTTTTCAGTACAGTCTTACATCTTTTCAGAACAAAGAACATACATTAAACACACCCAGGATACATATTCATCAAAGTTTCAAAGAAGTATTCAGTTGCAAATTAGCAGGTCTACATGACCATGATGTCAGGAAAGGGACTAACCCCAGCATTACCAATAGGGCATTACCAATAGGGTATAGGAGGGCAGGTATGTATTCTTATCTTAGGAGAGTGCATTCTTTACTTTAACGGTTAAGCACATGTACAATGTATGTTTGGTAGGCCATAAGTCAGGCTTTTGAGTTCAAGCCAAATCAGTTTTGAACCCAAATAGTTACCCCATATACCTCAATATGTGAGAATCTCTTGTCACCCCCAATTCAGACCTCTCTGGGCAAGAGAGTGAGAAGCACCGATGCCTCCTGGTCCTCCTTCCTGCCTTTCCTCTAGGAGCTCTGCTGAAAGGCTTGGGTCGGGTTTCTTCCTCACCCGCGAGCCGTGCTGGATCCTAGAGGCTGGAACCTGGAAACCCCGGGACAGCATCCCTGAGGCTGCGTCCTCAGATGCCTGTCCCCGCCGCTCGGAGCTGTCCCTGGGGGCACTGAGCGGCTGGAAGAGACGGCGCCGGGGCTGCCGCCGGGGCACAAGGCGCGCAGACACATTGCGCCGCGCTCGGGGCTCTTCCCCACTCCCGGTGACGACCCCGATCCCTGCGCTCGCACCCGCGTCCCCAGGAGGCGGCAGTCGCGGGAGGGATTCAGGCCACAGCGTGAGATGGGGCTCATGGTCTGCCCTCTAGGTCCCCTCCACAAACGCGCCCTCCATCCCTGACTCGGCACAGATTGATCTCCCGGGGGCCACCACCGAGGCCGAACGGAGAAAAGCAGCGTCTAAACGACCAACTCACCTACCATCCCGGGCCTGACAAAGGCTACCAACTTCTTGGGCCAGCTCCGAGTTGCGCATGCGTAGGAAGGAGCGGGGCAAGGCTGCCGGCCTCATCCAGCCCCGGAACTACGATTCCCAGAAGCCCCTGGGCATTGCCAGACGCGGATTCTCAGCAGGTGGGAGCACACGTGGCGCAGTTGGGAGTATCGAAGGACTAGCAGTCTCTTTCCTTCTCGCGAGAGTATCGTGCCTCCTTGCCTGAATCGGATCATTTGGATCACCGAGAGCGCCAACGCTGGAGACCCAGAGCGGAGTCAGTGCGTGTCCGCGCGCTTTGACGAGGGGGACTACAGCACAGTGTTTAGGGCTGCTGAGGACTGCATCCCAAATTACTCTAAGATGTGTTATAGTATATGACTACTCATGGTATATGACTTTTTCCATATTTTTTCCTCCGCAGACACATCCTTTCGTCCAATGTGAAAGGTGGTTTTTTTTTTAGGAACAGCGGTTTCTATAATCAATCCGAGGTTCATGCATCCATAGACAACTGGTAATAATGAAAATTCACATGTGTGAGATAGGTGACTTGAAAAGATTCAGTTTCAACAAATTTGGGCAACACGTTCTTTGCAGGCGTAAGAGTTAGTGGAAACTGATCAAAAGGTTTTCCTCTCAAGGGAACATAGTTAGTCTTTCTAATTCTGTTATTGGACTGACCTACCCACCTCAAACTCAAAATGTCTAAACTGCCCTCCTCTTCTCAATGAAGATGTCACTGCCCACAGACTCATTGGCAAAAGCCAGAACCAGAGTATCCTCACCTCTTCTCTCTCACTGTTTATCACCGAGTCGTATTTATTATATTTCTTAAATAACTCTCCAGTTTGTCCATCTCTCCCTTTCCTACTAGTGTTACCCCAGTTCTGGCCAACATCATTTCACTAGTGTTACAGTCACAGACTCCTAACTGATTTCCCTAACTCAAGTTTTCTTTCCCACTGATCTCTTCTCCACTCTTTCTGGCCAGTGATCATTCTAAAGGAAGAATATAATGTTACTTTACTAATTAAAACCTTTCAATGGCTTTCAAAAACTTTGGAGAAAGATGACTTTTAGTTCCCACAAGAAAGCACCCCTTTTCCAGCTCCCGTTATCCAATGTGGCTCTGAGTATCGGAGCCTCCTGGTATTCACACCCTATGTAATATCCCCTTATGTAATTCCCTCCCCTTGGGTATGAGTGTTATGTGGGAGGCCCACGTAACAAGGAACTATGGGTAGCCTTCAGGCAACAGCCAGCAAGAACCTAAATCCTATCAACAACACCCAGGTCTTGAAAGTAGATCATTTTTAGCGGAGTCTTCACATGAGAACCCAGTCCTGGCTGACACCTTGACAGCTGGCTGCAGAGGACCCAGTTAAGCTGTGCTCAGACCTTCACCCACAGAAACTGAGATAACAAATGTGTGCTGTTTTGAGTCACTACGTATGCAGAAAAAGATAGTTAATACAACATCCTAACATAAATGGCTAGCTCCTTTCCCAAAATGCAACCTGGATATCCTCTGGGGGGAGGGAGGTTGTTGGATTGAGAAACTATTGAAAAATTGATTGGAAACTCTCTGGAAGACGGATGGCTACAGTTGGTCCTAGGGTGTGTGTGTGTGTGTGTGTGTATGTGTGTGTTGGTGGGTGAGGTGGGAATGGCAGCAGCAATGGCAGACTCCTAGATGCCATAAGGGGACTGCATGGAGGTGCTATAAGGAGTGGGGGTGCTTTTTAGTGTTTTGTTGTGCTCCTTTCTGTCCACTTGCCACATTGCCCTGGGTAAATCTTTGCTCACTCTTTCACCGTTGTACAGGGTAGCCTTAGAGGTGGACTGGAAGAGAAGTGGATACTAGCAGATACAAGTAGATCCACCTCAAAGAGTTGTTTTTTGTTTTTTGTTTTTTTTGTTTTTTTGTGAGGAAGATCAGCCCTGAGCTAATATCCATGCCAATCCTCCTCTTTTGGCTGAGGAAGACCGGCCCTGAGCTAACATCTATTGCCAATCCTCCTCCTTTTTTTTTTTTTTCCCCTTTTTCTCCCCAAAGCCCCAGTAGATAGTTGTATGTCATAGTTGCACATCCTTCTAGATGCTGTATGTGGGACGCGGCCTCAGCATGGCTGGACAAGCGATGAGTCCATGCACGCCTGTGATCCTAACCTGGACCGCCAGTAGTGGAGCAAGCGCACTTAATTGCTAAGCCAAGGGGCCAGCCCTGTCTCAAAGAGTTTTATTCACCTTTCTCCCACCTTGATACACAGACACACACACACACACACACACACACGCGTGCACACACACAGTGAGCCAGATGATTACTGCAAAAAAAGAGGTAGAGATAGAGAGGTTCCCTGAGGGATAAGATCATTTGGTGGGAAGAGGGTGGTAAATGGGGAGTGGTCTTGCCCACAGATTCTCTGCTTTGAAAATAACTCAAATCCGCCTAAGTCCCCCACCCATACGTACATATGATTCATCTACAGTTTGTGCCCTTCCTGGTGAGTTGAAGGAGATATAGGAAACACCCCAGGGTTTTGGTTCCCTTCCCTCTCCCTACATTACCACCTTATAACCTGGCCTGGGGAATCTGGGCTCACAGGGAAAAAATAAGATATCTGAAGAGTTCTATTGCTATAAAAGAAAAACAATAAACCAAACAATCGGTAACAGGTAAAACAGAATTACTGGAGGTGGTGTAAGCCCTGTCAGTTGTTTTTTTTTTCTCTTTTGTAATGCAAGTGCCTGATTTAAGCTTTGATTGCTGAGACATCCACTTCAGAGAGGCATCCACTTCAAAGACGGCTATCTTTTTTTTTCCCCAGAAACTTTATTGAGACCATAATGTTTTATAACATTGTATAATTTCGGGTGTGCATTATTGCTTATCAATTTCTGAGTAGACTTCGTCGTGGTCACCCCAAGTAGTCTAATTATTGTCTGACATTGTACATATGTGTCCCTTTACCCCCTTCACCCACCCCCCACCCCACTTCCCCTCTGGTAACCACTAATCTGTTCTCTTTATCCATGTATTTGTTATATTCCACATATGAGTGAAATCATGCAGTATTTGTCTTTCTCTGTCTGGCTTATTTCACTTAACATCATACCGTCAAGGTCTATCCATGTTTTTGCAAATGGGACAAATTTGCCTTTTTCTATGGCTAAGTAGTATTCCATTGTGTATGTATACGACATCTTCTTTATCCAATCATCAGTTGATGGGCACTTGGGTTGCTTCCATGATCAAAGACAGCTATCTTGAGTAAACACATTGCCAGACACAGGACTAGATAAAGAGCCAGGCTGCCCCCCCCACCCCCGCACTGAAGCTCCTTTGTGCCAGAAATCTTGGTTGATTTCAATAACTGACCATTGAGCTGCTTGTTTTCTCTCTATTGTGCTTTAAATTCCTGCTCTTATGCTTTAAATTCACCAATAAAGAGGGAGCCCATGAAACCGAAGACTCCACCCTCGACACCAATAAAAGCAGACACCCAGGCCCATGTAGTTGCTCTCTCTCTCTCTTTCTTTCTCTTTCCCCACGACCTCGACCTCACTGTGTGGCCCCAGGTGTGCTGAGTAATTTCCAAGTCCTGTGAGTAATAAACCTTTATTTTTTCAAAGCTTCCTGATGGTTATTGCTGGAGGGCACCTTGCAATCATAAGAACTGTTGGAAAAATGGTGTCGATAGACTTGCTCAACGCAGGGTTGCCACAAACCTTCAATTTGTAAAAAATGTAATAGCTGTGAAGTGCAATATAGTGAAGTATAATAAAATGAGGTGTGCCTGTATTTTACTTAAGTATCATGTAAATGAGGCAAAATAAAGATACTCTGATTCAAACAAGACCTTGGAAATGTTCTTGGAGAAAATATTTCAGCAAGAAAAAAAAATATTCAGGAAGATGCTTCAAGATATAAAGAAATTAAAGGTAAGAATAATTTAGGAAAGAGTTTATTATCATTTTAGTAATCAAGGAGCAGAAGTAGTGAGACAGAGTGACAACAACTACATGGACATAACAATCCAATACTAAAATTTTAATGATACCCTTGGGGATGAGGGTGGGAAGTAGGTATGAGAAAGTGAGAGTAGCTAAGTTACTTGTCTTGATTGGGGGAGGATATACATATTCACAATCTTAATAAATGGATGGGGGAAGGTAGAGAAGAAACATATGTATGAATTTTAATAATTTAGGTGCAAGTACCAAGAGAATAAAAGTAGGATGTATAAAATTCAAACCAGAAGAAAATAATAGATTATTCAATGAAAACCCAGACAAGAGGAAAACAAGAAACAACAAGAAAGTATGGTAAAAAGAAAACACAGAATAAGATCTGTTATATCATTTATCACAATAAATGTAAATCGGTCAAACCCACCCAGCAAAAGGCAGAAATCTAAGTTTGAATTAAAAACAAATCCAAAATCAAAACAAAACAAAACCCCAAGTTGCAGCAATATGTTCCTTACAAAATATACATTGGAAACCAAAAAACACAGAAAGATTAAAAACCAAGTGATGGCAAAAGATATACCTGGCAAATATGCACTAAAAGAATACTCAGATAACA